TCCCTTTCAAGTGCAGATTTGAATGTCTTCTGAAGTAGTCTCTTTTGTTCAGCTACACCAGACTAACACGGCTACATTTCTATCACTATTCTATAGCTGAGAGCAGTCTTCAACGCATGCTAGCATTTCTCCACTATCATCCAGGACAACACCATCAGGGTCCTGACTGACAATATGATTACCGTTTTCTACATAAATTGACAGGAAGGGGCCCAATCACGTTCCCTCCGCTGGCTTTATCACTGCCCTAAATGGCCTTAACCAAAATTCTTACATAGTGGTGCTGTAGCCATGTTGGTCCCAAGCTCGCAGAGAGGTAATACCTTTCATTTGGCCTATCTTCTACTGAAAAATACAAGCTTTCCACTTTGAGAGCTTAGTGGAAGAAGGGTTCTATGTAAGGCTGAAATTTTTCACCGACAGTATTTGATCCGATACAAATTATGGCCTTTCCCCATTTTCTCTTAGTACCAATTACTGCATGTCCACAAGTGGGCTGCATTAGAGTTGCACTTGCCTGAGTCCACCTACTTTTGATGTAGGTGCTCAAATGTTGTTTTAATGTAGAAGTTTTTTTGCTGTGTCCATATTTATTTTAAAAAACCAACAGCCATATTACTCCTTCCATTCTCTTTTTAAAGAAATACATGGTCCCTGAGCTGAAACTACTCTAATGTTCCAGATTTTCTTCAAGGGCAAAGCTATGATAGTGGTCCAACAGGCAACTTGGCTGGTGGTCCAGACTCTCACTGCGGCTTTCAAGGACATATCTCTCTATACAGTGTGAGCACATGTCCTGATTTTTGTATAAGACAAAGCATTATGCATATGAACTGTTCTTATTTTGGCATCTGCTACCTTCTCTTCCCCTCTCCGCCATCATAGGTGACATTTGGGAAGCACTATGCTCCTAATACTCTTAAATGCTAGCTGGGCAGCCTCCATTTCCACAGGGTGGCCTATTCTGCACTCCCTCCCCAGGCACCGTCCATGCCCCTCCCATCCTAGTCTGATAGTGCACAGTGAGCGGCACGTCTGCCCCCTGCTGCGGCCGCTCCTTACGCTGCTGGCAGCCAGGCTCGTGGGAGCCGGGCTAGCTACGGGACAGCGCGCTACGGCATGAATCCCCCTCCCCCCCCAATGGCTCAGTTGCGGGCCCCCTAACGGCCGGGAAAAGGAGGTGACGTCGCCCCCTGCTCGGGCTGGGTCTCCTGCCCTCAGCCTGGCGCGTGCAGCAGCGGGGCTAAGGGGCGGGGCTGATGACGCAGCCCTTCCCGGCTGGCACGTGCGCAGTAGCCTGGGCGCAGGGGCAGCTCGCGCCCAGCGGTTACGCTCTGGGGTTTGCTTGGCTAGAGCAGCCCCCACCGCCCGCCCCCTCAACCGTCTCTATGCTGCGATTGGGCTAGAGCGACTCCATCCCCGCGGGGCGGGGGAGCTTTCCTGGCGCCGGGGCCGGTGCGGGGGCGGCGGGGGCGGCCGGG